TTTCCTGATCTGTTTGTCTGTATCAGGTGCCCTGCCCCTGGTTGCTCCTGCAGCCCTCTGTGCACACCCACATCACAGCATTGGTCACACTGTAGTATAATTCCCATTTGCTCTCCTATCTGTCCACCAGGCAGCACACTGCTTGACAGTGGAGACTGTGTATCTCCAGGGCTGGTCACCATGCACTGGGCCACTCTGTCAGTATTTGCTACATGAATAAATGAACAAACACCCTTGATATAAGGGACATACGATTGCCCTTTGGATGTTAAACTATGAAATCAGTGTGTCATAAATAAGAACTGAGTGATAATAATAATCATAATAATTGTTAATATATAATTAATTATTAAATATTATTAACAGTCAACTATTATTAATACTTACTGCTGAGTGCCAGACCTTGTTATAAGATTTTTACATATTTTAAATTCTTTTTAATGTTTGTTTATTTTTGAGACACACACACACACACACATACACACACACACACACACACAGAGTGTGAGTGGAGAAGGGGCAGAGAGAGAGGGAGACACAGAATCCAAAGCAGACTCCAGGCTCGAGCTGTTAGCACAGAGCCTGTTGTGGGCCTCAAACCCATGAACTGTGAGATCATGACCTGAGCCGAAGTTGGACAGGTCAACTAATTTTCTCATTAGCTTAGATTTTTTTTCTTTCTATAATTTATGTTTTTATAATTTACATCCAAGTTAGCACATGGTACAACAATGATTTCAGGAGTAGTTTCCTTAAGCCGCTTACCCATTTAGCCCATCCCCCCTCTAACAACCACTCCAGTAACCCTCTGCTTGTTCTCCATATTTAAGAGTCTGTAATGTTTTGTCCCCCTCCCTGTTTTTATATTATTTTTGCTTCCCTTCCCTTATGTTCATCTGTTTTGTATCTTAAAGTAGCTTAGATTTTTTTATTAGAAGTTAGTATAGATATGTTTATACACACATGGTTCTTTTTCATAACATTTAGCAGTATTGATTATGTATTATGTTTCAACTAGTAGTCACACTTTTATTTAGTAGTTAGTAGAGGGGACTTTGCTTCCCACCTGGGATCTACATTTCATCTCCAGCTTCAGTAACTCACCCCAGAAGACCAACCCCTTCTGAGGCTGGACCAGCTGCTTTTCCACCTAGGTGAGGACCAAGTACCCTACTAGAATCAAGATTTAGTCCATAGAGGAGTGACATCAGTAAGATGGTGAAATGGGAGTTTTCTCCTGTCTTTTCCCCCAGAGAACACCAATTTTAACAATTATCCATGGGTAAGAGTGACTTATGGGAATCCAAGAGTCCAGTGGAGAAATCCCACCACACCATTAGAACAAAAACAACAACAAATCCAGGACTGTATGCATTTAAGAGAGTGAGAGGAACAATTTCACTTTATCACCATCATCCTTCCCCCAAGGTGGCACAGCTTAGTGCCAAAACAGACCTTCTTGACTCATGATTTATCCCATGGGGGAAGGTGAGAGTATATGAGTGGGTACTTGGCTTCCCCAGCTGTGTGGACGCTGCCATAGAGGCCTACTTCTTTCTCACCCCATACAGAATACTGAAGAATGTTGCACAATCTGGGGGCAGGGAAGGGCTGGGAGAAGCAGCCAGGGCTCTGAGGGGGCATCAGTAGGACATGGATCCTACCAACCATGAGCTACAAGAAAACACAGGATTCAGCAAGATCAGGAAAACAATACTTGAACTAAATGAGAGATTTACAGAGAGATAGAGATAATAATAATAATTTAAAAAAGAGGCAAACATTCTGGAGCTGAAGAATATAATGAATGGAATCAGGAACAAGACAGGGATACCCACTGTCATCACTGCTATTCAACATAGTACTAGAAGTCCTAGCCAAACAATTAGGCAAGAAAAAGAAACAAAAGGCATCCAAACTGGAAAGAAAGAAGTAAAATTGTCCATGCATATGACATGGTCTTATGTGTAGAAAACCCTGAAGACTCTACCAAAACATTTTTAGAACTAATCAATGAATTCAGTAAAGTTGCAGGATATAAAATCAATGTACAAAAATCAGTTGTGTTGCTATATACTAACAAGCTATCAGAAAGAGAGATTAAGAAACAATCCATTTATAATAGCATAGAAAACAATAAAATACTAAGGAATAAATTTAACCAAAGAAGCAAAGATCTAAACACTGGGGGGGGGGGGGGGGGGAAGCTATTGTTGAAAAATTGAAGGCAGAAATAAATGGAAAGTTATCCCACATTCATGGATTGGAAGAATTAGTGTTGTTAAAATGTTCATACTACCAGAGCAATCTACAAATTCAATGCAATCCCTAACAAAATTCCATTGGCAATTTTCACAGAAATAGAAAAAAAATCTTAAAATTTGCACAAAACCAAAAAAAGACCCTGAATAGGCAATGCAATTTTGAGAAAAAACAAAGCTGGAGGTGTCACACTTCCTGATTTCAAACTATTTACAAAGCTGTAGCAATCAAAACAATATGACAGTGGCATGAAAACAGACCCACAGACCAATGGAACAGAATTGAAAGCCCAGATATAACTCATGCATATATGGTCAACTAATGTTTGACGGAGTGCCAAGAGCACACAATGGAGAAAGGATAGTGTCTTCCATAAATGGTTTAGGGAAACCTGAATGAAATTGTACCTTTACACCACTCACAAAAATGAACTCAAAATGTATTAAAGACTTAAACGTAAAACTTGAATCCATAAAGCCAGAATAAAAGGGAGAAAACTCCTGGACATTGGTCTTGGCAATGATTTTTTTGGGTATGAAACAAAAAGCACAGGCAACAAAAGAATAAACAGGTGGTATTACTTCAAACTAAGCTTCTTCACAGTGAAGGAAACAGTCAACAAAGTGAAAAGTCAAACTACAGAATGGGAGAAAATATTTGCAAACCATGCATCTAATAGGGAGTTAATATACAATTATATCAGGAATTCATGCACCTCAATAGCAAAAATAAATAAAACTCCAGTAATTTGATTAACTAATGGGCAAAGGGTCTGAATAGACCTACTTTTATAAAACCTGCAGATAGTCAACAGGTAATTGAAAAGGTACCCAACATCACTAGTCATCAGGGAAATGGAAATCAAAACCACAGTGAGATACCTCACACCTGTTAGGATAGCTGTTATCAAAAAGTCAAAAGTGTTGGCAAGGATATGAAGAAAAGGGTACCCTTGTACACTGTTCATGGGAATATAAATTGGTGTAGCCACTGTGGAAAACTGTAATTTCCTCAAAAAATTAAACATAAAGCCACCATAGGATCCAACAATCCTATTTCTGGGTATATATCTGAAGGTGATGAAATTAGTCCCTTGAAGAGATATCCTAACTCCCATATTTATTGCAGCATTATTCACTATAGACAGGATATGGAAATAACCTAAGTGTCCATCAACAGGTGAATGTAGACACACACACACACAGGAATACTGTTCAGCCGTGAGAAAGTAGGAAATCCTGCCATTTGCAACAACACAGTTGAATCTAGAAGGTATTTTGCTTAGCCAGATAAAGACAAATATTGTATGATCCTACTTATATGTAGAATGTACAAAAGAAAAAAAATTGAACTCCTAGAAACAGAGAACATAATGGTGATTACCAGGGGTTGGAGGCTGGTAGAATGGGAAATGCTGGTTAAAGGGTACAGACCTTCAGTTATAAGATGAATAAGCTCTGAGGATCTAATTTACAGCATGGTGACTATAGTTAGCATTACTGAGTTGTGTAGTTGAAATTTGCTAAAAGAGTAGACCTCAAGTGTTCTCACAACACACACACAGAAGCGTGGTAACTATGTGAGATGATGGATGTTTTAATTAACCTGATTGTGGTACTCATTTAACAAAACATACCTATGTAAAACAATCACATTGTACACCTTAAATATATAATTTTATTTTTCAGTTATACTTCAATAAAGCTGAAAAATAGTAAGATCAGTAATAAATTCTTGATTATTTGTTTTTTCACCCACTGGACTTCTGGCTTTTTCAAAGTAAAAAAAAATGGGGTTTACTGTTAGTCAAATGAAGAAGTGAATTACCAGAATTTCAGGAAGTAAATAAGGTTAGTGAAATGTAAATTTTTTATAAGGTTTTCTCAGGACATGAGCAGACACTAAAAATTCTTCTTTTTAGGAAGAATTAATGGCTGCCCAAATTAACTCATTTGAGGTATTTCAACACGTATCCTCTCCATTCTCCACCTCTAATAAAAAAAAAAAAACTATCCTAATAACTTTATTCTTCATTCCAGATATTGCTGTGGTTCAAGTATAGCTATCTATAGGAGAGAAAACACATTGACCCCTTAATGTCTCTTAGATGTTTTTTTTTTTTAATTTCTGGTTGTCGTTGTTTTAGTTTATTTATTTTTAGAGAGAGTGTGTGCGCGCATGCAAGTGGGGGAGGGGCAGAGAGAGAAGGAGTGAGAGAATCCCAAGCAGGCTCCATGCTGTCAGCACAGAGCCCAACTCGGGACTCGATCTCACGAATTATGAGATGACCCGAGCTGAGATCAAGAGTCAGATGCTTAACCAACTGACCCACCCAGGTTCTCCAATGTCTCTTAATTTTAAAAAAAGGCTATTCAAGTCTTTTTTCAAGGGCTAGAAGCAAAGTGAAGATGTTAGGGAAATGGAAGAACAGACAATGGCAATTTAGGGAAACATTCTTATGCTCAGCTGGTGTCTGGTGCTGCTGCCTCCTCTGCTTTCCCAAACTGCAAAGAGAACGTGCAGGAAGTTGAGCTTTGGAGGCCCATTGGCATCTGCACTATGTTGCTGGTGACTAGCTCTGTGATAGAGCCCTTGACTTAGAACCCAGAGATTACAGCTGGCCAGCTGGCTTTTTGTCTGTCTGCTGTGTGTCTTTCTTCTGACCTCATTCCACAAATGATTTAAAGTAGTTAGAGTTGCCGAATGACAATAATTCCTTTTATTTTCTCTTTTTAAAGATAAGTCCAAAACTCTTCTCAGAAGATGAGTCTCTGCCATTGGGTTCAACTCAAGAACCGATATTTCCTCCGGAGCTAATGGTAAGGCAAAGTTGAGCTTGTTTTAGAGCAATTCCTTGTGAGATGTTTAGGAAGGGTATTTGCTTATGGGTCTTATCAAAAGCTGATTGACAAGTAGGCAATATCCATCTGTCATTGTTAGCCCAAAGTCTGAGTATGGGACTAAGGCAGAGATGTGTGAATGAGGGTGGAGCCATCAGGAGGGGACAGTTGACTATAAAAAGCAACAGATAGTATGTTAAGAAAATGTCATGAAATGACATCACAACATTTATAAATATAGACATGTTTTCTACTTCCAGCTTTGTTGAAGTTTAGTCTTCCATAGAATTATTGGACAAAATTAAGCATATTAAAATATTTCTTTTTTTTTATTTTAGAGAGAGCATGAGCAGGGGAAAGGGGCAGAAGGGGGGAGAGAGAGAGAGAGAGAGAGAGAGAGAGAGAGAGAGAGAGAGAGAATATCCCAACCAGGCTCCACATGGAGCCTGATGCAGGGCTCATTCACACAACCCTGGGATCATAACCCAAGCTGAAAACAAGAGTTGGACGCTCAACCAACTGAGCCACCCAGGTGCCCCACGTGTTAAAATATTTCTAAACATTGAAGAAGAGGGAGAGAATATTCAAACCAGGAAAAAGTGAGAGCCAAAGCACACCATTGCAAATGAGCATGAAACTCTGTGTTGCACCACCTGGCCAATGGGGAGGAAGGAAAATGCAGAAGGCTGCATACCCTCCACAAGCCCACAGGAGGAAGCATCCTGGGACCCTGAGAGGAACACTTCTTAGAACTGAGAGAAATGGATCACTTGGGTCTTTATATAACACTTAAAACATTACACTTAATGGTTATTTTTTTATAATTTAAAATTTTTAATGTAAAATTAAAGGCAACAAAGTGTATTTTTTTAATCTAGGAATATTGACTAGAGGAAGCTGAATGGAAGGCACAAGACTACAAAGTAGAAGCTTTAAGTGATGTCACTTGATTCACCCAAGAAATTGTATTAGTTTGCTGTTAATTGGAGGAATCTACACTTGGCTTTATTTTTTCCTCTTTTGACTGCCTGGTGACAGTATGTCATACATGATGTTCATCTTCTATTCTCAGAAGCTGGATATAACCCCTCTAGTTCTTAGTTGACTCCATCTATTATGAGAAAACACCCTCATAAGCAATATTGAGAGAAAATTACTCTTCAGAAGCAATATTAAGAAAATTTTGTGACTCTTATTAAAGTGATCATACTAATTTCTATATCACATGAAGAATATACTTGGCTTCTAGTCTAGTGTGGTCAGCTGGTTGTAGCATGGGATTAATGAGGCCAGTATGCTTCAGGTGCCCTTCAGGTATAGAAAATTTATTCAGAGAAATCCTTTTAGTTGTATGCTGTCTAGCCAATAATCTTGTAACTGTTTGTCACAAGGGAAATCAAGAAAAAGAATGCCTGGGTGATTACCTACAATCACTAAGATGACTACAAGGCAGTCTTCCCCACGTTCCTCCAACCCACTGAGCCCTTTTCCTGTGATGACCTATTTCACAATAATCTTGTGGAGTGGCTGCCATCATCATGTTATAGGTGAGAGAAATGAAGCTGAATCCAGAGAACAAAGTCAACTACATGAAGGTGACCCTCAACAAGTGGGAGAAATGCTCTACTGAGAGAAAATATGTTCACCTCATTACGAGCTTTCTGCACACCACCTAGTCAAACAACAGACAGAAACAAAATAACTGAGTAGTGGTAAAATCTTCTACAGCTCTGTGCTCTACTTACAATTCTTCTCCAAGCTCACAAGCCATTAACAGTCAGCCTGGGGGATGCCCAGCTAGCCTATGTGTTTTTAATTTGGGTTGTTTCCTTCTATTCTGTGGCTTTTAGGCACAGGGTTGTTGCCCCCACTCTGGCCCTTCTAAGACCCTTCTGGCCTATTTTAAATATCTACAATGGTTCTACTTTTCAGGACCCTGTTCAGTGTCGTAGCCTTGCAGACAAGTATGAGAGTGCTATAGAAGATCTTCAATCTAGACATCCCTGCAGCACACTAAACTATGAGGTTAGTGGCTTTTTTTTTTTTTTTTTAATTCAAAAGCCAGTGGCTCCTTTACCTGGACACTCCACTTATCTCTCAGTGATTCTCAAGTTAGAAGCTCAAGCTTCCCTTTTGGTGAACTTAATCTTTCTTTAATGTTGATTAAAATTTCAAACTCAGTGAAGAATTAGAACTAAAAATAAAACTAGCAATGGCAGTTTTTTAAAAATGTCTTTTTGTGTTTTGCTCTGTGTCCTTGTACCACGGACATGAATGAGCTGGCTAGCTTGCCACATGCTCTCTGCCCTTGGCATTGTGGAAGCTAGACACAACCAGAGTCACATTCCATGTCAAGGCCATGGGGCTGTTTTGATTTCATTTATAGAGGAGCAGAAAACCCAGCCCTTGGAAGCTGGTGAGAATGCAGTAACAGTTTTCTAAAAGAGCTATTGATTTGCTTTTTTTTTTTAGTAAACAGAAATGTTTGCTCCCCCAGTCTCATTTTCCAGGTGTCATTTAGAGTTGAATCAAAGTAAGTTCTAAGAGTTATTCAAGCTCTCCTAATGAAAGCTAACTATTAGAACAGAATTCCTCATGACTTTCAAATGGAATTTTCTGCCACAACATCATAAAGCCAGCCTGTTAGTAAACTGGATAAGATTTGATGTGTTTTTCCTTGAAATTATTATCGAGAAAATTTTATTATCGAGAAAGTTTTATTAAGTCAAGAACATGACAAGGCTTTTTAAAGCATCAGTTCATTGAATCTGTTGGGTTTAGTTGTAAAAGCTTACAGTATGTCATAACGAACATTGCAGTTGGTATATATATCTTGAGATTTTAGGTTCAATATGTTCAAAAATTCAAGGACACCAAACTCCATTGAAAGTGATGATATTGAAAGTTTAAAAAAGCTGCTATCTTTCCTGGTGTTCTGCAAAATATGGCAGTTGCAACCTTTGGCTTATAAATACCCTAACATTGCTTTGACAATGCAATAAACCTCAGAAAGGAGCAACAACAAATTAATGAGCATCCAGATCACCCAAAGAAAAGCGATAATCTTTACACAGCTGCTAATCATAAAAGGGAGCTTGTTATTATAGATTGCAAGGCCGAGTTTGGGAAGCAGTTTATCTTCCACACAGATGTGTTTTCTTCTTGTTTTCCTGTGTTTTTTCATACACTATCACACATATCTACATTGCTAGAACAACTTCAGCACTCATAACAAGCATTTTTTTCCCCAAATCAGTTCATTTGCTTTGAAAGCATTTCGACACAGCTTTGGGAGATCAACAATTTAAAGAGACAAATCCTTTCCCCCATGGTACCTTCAGCCACATAACAAGCAGAAGCAAGCAGTCAAGCACAGCCTCTTTCACCAATAGATTCATCCCAACTGACTGACCCTCCCCAACCAAAAAAAGGGTTGGATCTTCAGCTAATATAATCAATTGTGTATTTGTTATAGAATAGGAGAAAAATATATTTTGTGGGATTTTTTTCTTCACTCTTTCCTCAGGCCTCACACAGCAAGGTTTCAGAAGGCTTTTTTTGAATACTATGAAGTATTTCATTATTGAGAATAAAAACTATTATGTCATAGAAAACTCTCAGAAACTTTACAGATATGTAAGAATGTGTTTCCTTAATGTTGAAGCTTATAAAGTACCTGGAATTTTGCTCTTCAGGATGGAAAAAAATCTCATAGGATTTAAAAAAATAATTTATTGTCATGTTACAGTGTAGTCTTGGCTTCGAGAGTAGACTCCTGTGATTCATCACTTACATACAACACCCAGTGCTCATCCCAGCAAGTGCTCTCCGGCGGGCATCTCAGGATTTTTTTTTTTTTTTAAGATGTGGGTTGGAGCACCTGTGTGACTAGGTTAGTTAAGCATCTGACTCTTGATCTCGGCTCATGTCTTGATCCCACAGTCGTGATCAAGTCCCACACTGGGCTCCACACTAGGTGTGAAGCCTACTTAAAATAAAAAAATAAAATAACGTAATGTAACGTAATAAAAAAGTGTGGGTGATTTTCACTCAAGCTGAAAGCCCAGCACAGAATCACAGCATAGTACTTTGGGAGTATTTTACAGAAGGAGTTAATCCCTACCACATGGAACATGAAAAACCATACTTGATGGAGTCCCCATACATTTTTTTTTTTTCTCTTGATCACCTTCTCAGCTCCTCAAAGGAGAAAGACAAAAGGCCTGCTGGGAGCACTTGTTCCTGAGGACAGAGCGATGAGCTGTGTCAGTGGGGCTGGTGTGTGTTGGGGCTGTGTCAGATCCCTGTTCATGCCTGAACGCCCCCCCCCAGTTCCTCTCAGCTTCCCTCTTACCCTACCTTTATGGCCTGACGTCAGTCTTTATTTAATGGTGTCAAGGCCAAGTTCTAAATTATTTTTCTTCATAATCTTCTGCTTTCTAGTTTATAAATTCAGGACGAACACAACCTCCCCCCAAATTAGCCAATATTCCTTTTCCATGCATTGTATTATAGTAACTACAAAATTGAAGTTTACATTTAAATGAATAATTATGGACACTAGAATAAAAAATGCGTATCAGTAAATATTTTGTAGAACAGTAAATTAAAATTTTTAAAAAATTTACATCCAAGTTAATTAGCATATAGTATAATAATGATTTCAGGAGTAGAATCCAGTGATTCATTCCCTAAATATAACACCCAGTGCTCATGCCAACAGTAGTGCCCCTTGCCCATTTAGTCCATCGCCCCTCCCACAATCCCTCCAGCAACCCTCAGTTTGTTCTCTATATTTAAGAGTCTCTTATGTTTTGTCCCCATCCCTGTTTTTATATTATTTTTGCTTCCCTTACTTTATGTTCATCTGTTTTATGTCTTAAATTCCACATATGAGTGAACTCATATGATATTTGTCTTTCTCTGACTGATTTTGCATAGCATAATATACTCTAGTTCCATCCACGTTGTTGCAAATCACAAGATTTCATTCTTTTTGATTACCAAGTAATACTCTACTGTATATGTACCACATCTTCTTTATCCATACATCTGTCGATGGAGATTTTTTGGCTATTGTCAATAGCATTGCTATGAACATTGGGGTGCATATGTCCCTTTGAAACAGCATACTGTATCCTTTGGATAAATACCTAGTAGTGCAATTGCTGGGTCGTAGGGTAGTTCAATTTTTAATTTTTTGAGGAGCCTCCATATGTTTTCCAGAGTGGCTGCACCAGTTTGCATTCCCACCAGCAGTGCAAAAGGGTTCCCCTTTCTCCGCATCCTCGCCAACATCTGTTGTTGCCTGAGTTGTTCATGTTAGGCATTCTGACTGGTATGAGGTGGTATCTTATTGTGATTTTGATTTGTATTGCCCTGATGATGAGTGATGTTGAACATTTTTTCATGTGTCTGTTAGCCATCTGGATGTCTTCTTTGGAAAAGGGTCTATTCATGTTTTTTGCCCATTTCTTCACTTGATTATTTGTTTTTTGGGTGTTGAGTTTGATAAGTTCTTTATAGATTTTGGATACTCACCCTTTATCTGATATGTCGTTTGCAAATATCTTCTCCCATTCCATCAGTTGCCCTTTAGTTTTGCTGATTGTTTCCTTCGCTGTGCAGGAGCTTTTATTTTGCTGAGGTCCCAATAATTCATTTTTGCTTTTGTTTCCCTTGTCTCCAGAGACATGTTGAGTAAGAGTTGCTGTGGCCAATGTCAAAGAGGTTTTTGCCTGCTTTCTCCTCTAGGATTTTGATGGTTTCCTGTCTTACATTTAGGTCTTCCATTCATTTTGAATTTATTTTTGTGTATGGTGTTAAGAATGTAGAACAGTAAATTTTGTATGAAATAATAAGTTCATAGCATCCCACACATGTATCTTGTGCCAAGTTAATTTTAGGAATCTCTCTACTTTCTGCATATAATTGTCAGTCAACATTTGGCTGATATTTTACTTTTTATCAGTTATATTATAAAGACAGTAGGTTTTAATTTTTTAAATATAACCAGTAAAAATGCTGAATATGTTTTCAAATTATACTTGCCACTTTCCATTTCTCTCTTGATGTTCCAGGCCTGCCCCTGCCTGGACAGCCTCTGTTATATCTCAAGCCAAAGGTTTATTTTTTGAGTCCTTCAAGTAGATTGACAGTGATCCAAGACCACTCTTCTGTAGTCCTGTGAGCATCAGAGGCTATTGGAGAAGTATGTTTCTCAGTTATCTTTATGTGAGTTTCCTCATTGATGCTTGAGTGACAATTTTCCTGGCATTTCCACTGCCCACACTGCTGTCACCAGCCCCCTTAGCAGCCATAGCCTTCATGCTGGTCTCTGAGCTTGGCTTCTGTCCTTTCCCTTATAAACCCCTCCTTTTTCATACATCCAGTTCTTCTTCTCCCAATAACCAACCAACTGGGAAAGCTAACAACTCTCTCATATTTGAAATACTGGGGAAAATATTATGTTTCTTAATCGCCACTTTGGTTAATGATGCATATTTAAGGTATTTATAGAACCAGTAGCAAGACAGTTTATTCCATAGGTCTCTAAGAAAGAGTAATATTGGTAAATCATTTATCAAAGTACAGGTCCCTTTGTCTTCATTTTTTTTTTATGTTTATTTATTTTTGAGAGAGAGAGATGGACCAAGCACAAGTGGGGAAGAGGTAGAGAGAGAGGAAGACACAGAATCTGAAGCAGGCTCCAGGCTCTGAGCTGTCAGCACAGAGTCCAACGTGGGACTCGAACCCACAGACTACGAGATCATGACCTGAGCCAAAGTTGGATTTTAACTGACTGAGCCACCCAGGTGCCTCATTTCCTTTTAATGTTTGTTTATTTCTGAAAGAGAGAGAGAGAGAGAGAGAGAGAGAGAGAGAGAGAGAGAGAGAGA